TTTTTTTTGAGGCTGAGCTTCATCTTGTCGCACAGGCTGCAACCTCTGCCTCCTAGGTTCAAGTGATTCTCCTGCCTCAGCCTCCGGAGTAGCTGGGATTACAGGTGCGTGCCACGCCCAGCCAATTTCTGTATTATTAGTAGAGACCGGGTTTCACCATGTTGGCAAAACTGGCCTTGAATTCCTGACCTCAGGTGATCCGCCCACCTTGGCCTCCTAAAATCCTGGGATTACAGGTGAAAGCCACCTCACCCAGCCTTTTCATATATTTAAAACCATTTTAAATGACTGGCAGAAATTTGTTTACACCAGCATTACCATAAACATGTGAGTAATTTGTTGCATTGCAACATTGTGACAGCTGCCACATCACTAGGTGGTGGGGAATTTTCAGCTCCATTATAACCTTACAGATCACAACTGTGTATGTGGTCTGTGGTTGACCAAAACGTTGTTATGTGGTACATGACTGCACATGTGCCTGATATATAAAGAATACCAGCTGGGCACGGTGGCTCAGGCCTGTAATCCCAGCACTTTGGGAGGCCGAGGCGGGTGGATCACGAGGTCAGGAGATCAAGAACATCCTGGTCAACATGGTGAAACCTTGTCTTTACTAAAAATACAAAAATTAGCGGGGAATGGTGGCATGTGCCTATAATCCCAGCTACTCGTGTGGCTGAGGCAGGAGAATCGCTTGAACCAGGGAGTCGGAGGTTGCAGTGAGCCAAGATGGTGTCACTGCACTCTAGCCTGGAGACAGAGCAAGACCCTGTCTCAAAAAAAAAAAAGAATACTGGGGAACTAGTGACAGTTGTTGTTTCAGGTAAGGAAAATTTAGGAATAGAGTTTAGAGTGAGCCTCCCATTTGAACTTTTCCTATAGGTATTATGTGTACTACATAAGACATAATTTTAAAAAGTCAGATCTATGTCTTAAACAGTTTCATACATCTTAGGTTTAGTGAGAAAGGCAGGCTGTAGAAGAAACAAAAATACATTATCTTATTTTTAGACTAAATAAAGTTGACCCTTGAACAACAAAGGTTTGAATTGTGGCTATCCCCTTACAGGCAAATTTCTTTCTACCTCTGTCCTCCCTGGGACAGCAAGACCAACCCCTCCCCTTCCTCAGCCTACTCAGGGTGAAGCTGACGATGAAGACATTTATTTATGATCTTTATGATCACTTCATAAAGAAGATAAAATACATTTTCTCTTCTTCATGATTTTCTTAATAACACTGTCTTTTCTCTGAGGTTAGTTTATTGTAAAAATATGGCATATAATACATATATATGCAAAGGATGTGTTAACCAACTTTATGTTATTGGTAAGGCTTCTGGTTAAAAGTAGTCTATGAGTAGGTAAGTTTTTGGGGAGTCAAAAGTTAGAAGTGAATTTTCCACTGCAAAGGGTGGCACCCCAACCTCTGTTGCCTAAGGGTCAGCCATATATAAAAATACAAAAACATTCTTAATATGGGTATATTTTTGTAGGGGATTGGATTAAGCCCTTGGATAAAGGTGGAAGGGGTTGGAGAGAAAGGAAGGAGAAAGGATGAGTTAAATATTGAGTATCCCTAAAGAGCCCTGGGGGAGGTGGGATGTCCCCTCTCCACCCTCCAAACCCAAGTCCCGTCATCCTGCCCTCCGAGGGCAAGCTCTGCCCCCATTTCCACCCCAAGCACAGGCCCCGCTCCATCTCTGCACCTAGGGCGCACACCCTGCCCCTACCACCGCCACCACCCTCCAAACCAAAGCCCCGCCCACTCCACCATTGGGGTGCAAGCCCCTCCCATCTGCCCTCTGAATGGCACCGTCTCAAAAAAAAAAAAACAAAAAAACAAAAAGGAGAGTTTAAAAATTTTTTATTTTTTATGTTTCAAAGTTTTACTTCTGTGGGCATTAAGTTTTTTACTGTGAGGTGAGGGTATCTTAAAGAAAGCTATTTCTCAGTTATTTCACAAATATTATTATCAAGGAAAATAATACTATTATTAAAAGCAAGCCACACCCCCACCCCACCCCAGCACAGGCCCCGCACCGCTTCTGCCCCTGGGACCAAGCCCCACCCCTATCCCCGTCCCTCGGACATAGGCTCCGCCCCCAGCACCACCCTCCCTGCCCGGTGGGACCCCACTCCAGAGCCTAACTTCATCCCCGGATAGGAATACTAGAATTTCTTCTTGGAGGCTAAATAAAGAAGAGGTTAGTTCTTCTGCCGCCGCCTAAGGCTCCTCTGGCCACAACAGCCGGAGGCATAGCTACTTCCGCTCCCAGCGGCCCTGAGACCGGAAGCGGAAGTGTGCGCGGCGGTGACCGTCTGCGGCTGAGCTGTGATGCGCGGCGCGGCGAGGTGGGAGTGTCTCCGGCTGGTCTGCAGGTGTGGCCCGGCCCCTAGGGAGGGCGGGGAGGGCTCTGCCGGCGCCGGGAGGGGCTGGAGGGCCTAGAACAGCTCTGGGGGTCTGAGGTGCTTCCTCCTTGCCGTCACCCGGGGGCGGTGTGAGGCCCACACTGCCAGAGCCTCGCATCTAGGCGCCCACTCCCCGGTCTCTTGTTGTCAGCTATCCCCCGTCCGGGCAGACAGGGTTGTTGCCCTGTTAAAAGGGAAATCTCAAACAATTCTGATCCCACAGCTAAGGAATGTGGTAGTACCGGCGCCAGCCGTCACCTGTCCTTCTCAATTTTTAGGGAAAGTGCATGAAGAGGGCCCTGCCTTATCTATAGTATGCAAGATAACTGCGAGTTAGTAATTCACGTTTTATATGATATGATACTTAATATTATATAGCTTTGCAACGGGAAAGTGACGTCTGGGTTCACATTTGCGAATTGTAGGGCTGAGGGCCCCACAGGGTCGTGGGGTGAGCCTTATGTTGTGCTGAGGCGCAGGATCCGAGAAATAAAGAGAGGACACAGAAGTACAAGAAAAACGCAGCTGGGCTCAGGGGGCCCCGCCACCATAAGGGGAATCAGGTGAGGCCCTGAATGTCCAGAAGCGTGAGTATTTATTGTATTTAGGTTAGGGTGCAGGGCAGCGAGTGAAATCGTCTTTAAGGATAATGATAGGCTTGTGAGCAATAAAACATGGGGTCCACCCCATTAGGTCACCTAGGCCAGGAGGTGGACAGTGCGCAGCAAGGGTCCCGTTCCCATGAAGGCAAGGTCCATGTGCAGTAAGGGGTCCACTCCCATTAGGTCACCGAGGCTTGAAGGTGGGCCGTGTGCAGTGAAGAGGGTGCAGTGTGCAATACTTCTATTTATGGGCAAACTGCTTCTAAGAAGAGTTATAGGAGAATGCTTTAAGTCACATAGCAGTGACAGAGCTGTCAAGGTTACCGCCACCTTCTGGCAGCTTTCAATGGGTTCTATGGGAAGATGCTTTTCAAGCAGCACAGTAGCAAGAGCTGTTAAAGTTCATAGTCACCAAGGTGGATTGCCGTTCTGAGGGCAGCCTTCCACAAGAACTGGAGCAAGGTCCTACAACTCCTTTATCAGGAGGAGTGGCTCTTGCCTCAAGCCTGTGGTACAGCGGGTATCTTTACGACACTGAATGCTGCTGCCTGGGCCGTGGATTCCTGTCCTGGTATAACTGTTTGTCCCTTAAATCATGCTCTGCACTGTGTTTGCTCTAGGCATTCCTCCGATTATAAGGTGTTTACTCCTTAATTCATGGTCTGTACTGTGTCCGCTCTAGGCATTCCTCCGATTATGAACTAAGATATAATTATAGGTATATATGTAGGGAAATATTCTTTAGGCACTCATACTATCAACTATTATATGATTATATATAGAGAATTATATAAAGGGAGCCCTATTTCTATAAACTAATATATGATTATAAAAGGAAATAGCTGAGTAGTAACACTATAAAGTGAGATTTTCCTCAAGACCTAACTGTGCCAGGGTTCTGCTTAGCTCTCATTCCTTGGTGCCTATATGGGGCGTTACCCACACAAATTGGTTTAATTGATTGGCCAAATTTACTTAAAAAATGGAATGCATCCTCCATTAAGGAATGAATTAGATGAAGAGAGGTTTTCCTTTTTTTTTTTTTTTTTTGAGACTGTTTGAAGTCTTTTAGCTTAATATGTTAGCTTGGCTTTGCATCTCTTCCTTTTTCCTTAACTTTTTCTTTCTTCTTTTCTTTCTCATAAGAGAGCTTTTGGCCAGGTGTGGTGGCTCACACCTGTAATCTCAGCCCTTTGGGAGGCCGAGCTGGGAGGATCATTTGAGGTCAGGAGCTCAAGACCCTCCTGGCCAACATGGTGAAACCCTGTCTCTACTAAAAATACAAGAATTAGCGAGGCATAGAGGCAGGCGCCTGTAATCCCAGTTACTTGAGAAGCTGAGGCAGGAGAATCGCTTGAACCCTGGAGGCAGAGGTTGCAGTGAGCCAAGATTGCGCCACTGCACTCCAGCTTGGGTGACAGAACAAGATTCCGTCTCAAAAGAAAACAACAACAGCAGCAACAAAACAAAAAAGAGAGTTTAAATTTTTTTTTGTTTTTTCTTTATTTTTTATGTTTGAGACCTTTTAATTTTTGACTTTTACTTCTGCTGTGGGGATCAAGTTTTTCACTGGTGAAAAACTTGATGAGGTGAGGGTATCTTAAGAAAAGCCATTTCTCAGTTATTTCACAAATATTATCAAGGAAAAGTAAGGCTATTATTCAGATCTTTTCAAGTTGGCTCCAGGCCTTCCCCCAAGCATGTGAATCACAGAGCTTCAAAATGTATGGGACTTCAGGGAAAAGATGGTAGAAACTTTGTTAGTACTGGGAATTCAAATTGAGTTAGACATAAGTGGGATGTCTTTTTAAATAATGGTGTAAAAGCTCATGTCTAGTGAGAAATGAGGAAAAAATTAACTCCAGAGGAAAATTATGCATCGGATTTCAGTTTTATGAGTGAGGTGTTTGTTTCCAAAAAGAATATATACCCTTGCCTTGTCTTTTCAGAAATAATTAATATTGTTCCTTAAAGATACCTGAAACTTGTGATTATGGCTTGTGAAAGACAGGCTTTAAGTTATTCTTATATTTGATTTTTGTGGTGTCATATTCTTTTTTTTTTTTTGAGACAGAGAGTTTTGCTTTTGTTGCCCAGGCTGGAGTGCAGTGGTGGGATTTAGGGTCATTGCAACCTCCACTTTCCAGTTTCAAGCGATTCTCCTGCCTCAGCCTCCTGAGTAACTGGGATTACAGACGCCTGCCACCACGCCCAGTTTCACCATATTGGCCAGGCTGGTCTTGAACTCCTGACCTCAAGTGATCCACCTCCCTTGGCCTTCCAAAGTGCTGGGATTACAGGTGTGAGCCACCACTCCTGGCCACCTGGGCCTGATTCTAAGTCCATGGGGAAGCCACTGAAGTTTTAAGTAGGGGAGTGACATGATTATATTTGTGATGTAAACAAAATACCAATTCCTGGATTGAGCATGGAGTTTAGGATGGACAAGGATAAATGCAGAGTCAATATGGGAGGTTGGAGAAGTTCAGGACTTGGATGATGGTAGCTGGGGCTTGATGATTGTGGAACTGGAAAAGTTGGAATGTTTGAGATGCCTGTAGAAGGTAGAATTGAGAGAATTCAATGATTGATCCATTCTCTTTACCACATAAGCAAGGTCTGTAAATTGTGACCAGTGGGCTAAATCTAGTCTGATGCTGGCTTATATCAATAAAGTTTTATTGGAACATATTTGTTCATGTGGCTATTTTTGCCCTATGACCATATGGCCCACAAATCCTAAGACATTTATTACTTAGTCCTTTGCAGAAAACGTTTACCAACCCCTGATATGTAAAGTACTTAGTATTCATTACGCACTGTGCTAGTGACTGGATGTGGAGTTCTGAAAAAAGTGGTTATAGGTCTATACTTAAAAAGTCTCTGTCAGGCTGGGTGTGGTGGCTCAGGAATGTAACCCCAGCACTTTGGGAGGCCTAGGCAGGTGGATCACCTGAAGTCAGGAGTTCGAGACCAACCTGGCCAAAATGGTGAAACCCCATCTCTACTAAAAATACAAACATTAGCTGGGCGTGGTGACGCATGCCTGTAATCCCAGTTACTCGGAAGGCTGAGGCAGGAGAATCACCTGAACCCGGGAGGCAGAGGCTGCGCGGTGCACTCCAGCCTGAGCAACAGAGTGGGACTCAAAAAAAAACAAGTTTTATCATAGTTGGTGAAGACAGAGAGACAAAAATCATTTAAGAAATAAATATCAGGCCAGACACGGTGGCTCATGCCTATAATCCCAGCACTTTGGGAGGCCAAGGCAGGGGATCACCTGAGATTGGGAGTTTGAGACCAGCCTGGCCAACATGGCGAAACCCCGTCTCTACTAAAAATACAAATTTTAGCTGGGCGTGGTGGCACATGCCTGTAATCCAAGATACTCGGGAGGCTGAGGCAGGAGAATCGCTTGAACTGGGGAAGCAGAGGTTGCAGCGAGTTGAGATCGTTCCATTGCACTTCAGCCTGGGCAACAAGAGCAGAACTCTGTCTCAAGAAAAAAAAGAAAGAAAGAAATATCAAACGACATCTTCATACGGGCAGTAGAGGAAAGGTAGAGGATCTTGAGGGGAGCTAGGAGGAAAAATGATCCTTTGATGACATAGGAAGTGCTGGTAGAAGTCACCAGGGGCTGTTGTTTCAAAGATGGCTCAGGGCCCAACATGTTGCTTATGGAGATACATGTCCTATAAGGGTTTTTGGTGTGGCCACTCTGCTGGAGACGCCCCAAAATGCTCTGCTTCTGTCCTTATGCCTTCTTGACCTCAGTATCTCTTCTGTTGCAGGAAGGACACCCACTGAGACCTCAAACCCTGGCTCCAGTGTCATGGTGAGGAAGCTGGGGGACTCTGATGACTGAAGGGGTGGATAAGTAGGATAACTGTGTCCTCTGGGCCCTGTCTCCTCTCTTCCCACTTCCCTTGCCAACTGAGAAATAAAGTGGGGGTGGAGTGAGGTGTATCCTCATCCCTGCCCTGGGGGACCTAGGGATGTCCTTCTGTACCTGACCTCTAGAGGGAAACCAGCATGAAGGAAGAGTCCCACAACAGACCCCGGGGCTCTGAGCAGAGCTCTCCAGAGCCAGCCTTGCCATCCCTGGTGAGACCTGTTGAAAACACACATGGCCATGTAAATATAAATTAACCTTGAATTAATTAATATTCAAAACGTTTAGCCAGGCATGGTTGTGTGCACCTGGAATCGCAGCTACTTGGGAGGCTGAGGTGGGATGATAGCTTGAGTCCAGGAGATTGAGGCTGCATCGAGCTAGGACAGTGACCTTGTACTGCAGCCTGGGCTGCAGAGTAAATCCCTGTCTCAAAAAAAAAAAAAAAAAATTGAAAAATTAAAGTGCTCAGTTTCTCAGTCTCCCAGCCACATTGTTCAACAGCCACGTGTGCTGGTAACCCCTTTCTGGAAAGTGCAGGCATGGAACATTTCCATCATCACAGAGTGCTGTCTGTTGGGCAGTGCTGCTCTAAGGAATTCTGTAATTAAAAGGCCATAAAGGTTGTGGTGGCTCATGCCTGTAATCCCAGCACTTTGGGAAGCCAAGGAGGGTAGATCACTTGAGGCCAGGAGTTCAAGACCAGCCTGGCCAACATGGTGAAACCCTGTCCCTACTAAAAATACAAAAAAATTAGCTGGGTGTGGTGGCGGGCGCCTGTAATCCCAGCTATCAGGGAGGCTGAGGCAGGAGAATTGCTTGAACCCAGGAAGTGAAAGTTGCAGTGAGCCGAGATCACACCACTGCACTCCAGCCTGGGTGACAGAGCAAGACTCCATCTTAAAAAAAAAGTTATCAGATGCAGTAATGCAATGGAAGTCCTACTTTCACAGTTATAAAAGATTATTAAGGACGTAAGTCTTGGGGGATCCAGGGACTTCACAGAAATTAAGCGGTCAAGCCCAAATTTGTGATATCACAATAAGGAGTTTAAGAAAAACTCTCTAAGCCGGGAAGGACAGGCCCTGCCATCACAGGTCAGTGGAGTTACAAAGAAAGCCAAACGTACACTTTAGGATTTGTCCAAGTGTTAAAAGAACGTAAACATTTCAGCTTGGTGGCCCATGTGATCTGTGTTACAACTACTCAGTTCTGCCATTGTGGTCCATTGTGGCCTAAAAACAGCCACAGCCATAGGTGCATTGTCAATAAATGGATGCGGCTGTCTCCAAGAAAACATTATTTACAAAAAGAGGTAGTGGGCTGGATTTTCCGTGCCTGCCATTTCTGAACAACCTCTCTTCCCCAGTGATAACCAGTCGTTCTGCTCAGTGGTGGGGGTAGTCTTTGCCGAGCCGGAACGTGTGTGCTGTTTTAGGAATCAGTCACCTTTGAGGATGTGGCCGTGGAGTTCATCCAGGAGTGGGCGTTGCTGGACAGTGCGCGGAGGAACCTGTGCAGATACGGGATGCTGGACAAGTGCAGGAGCCTGGCCTCCAGGGGTAAGGCTGGCGTCACATGGCTCCTTCCCGTACGCAGGCACTAAGTGCTTCTTTATTGCCTGCCATGTGAACAAGACGAATGTGGCTTAGGCTTTGTCACAGGATGACAAAGCTTCATCCATTGCACTCACTTCTTTTTCTCCCTCTGCTCCAAGGGGCTGAGGCTCTCTCACCTTGGAAGTCTGGGGCCAAGTTCAAGGAAACCCAAACAGGGCCTTTCTCAGCCCCTTGGAGCAGAGGGGAGGGTGTTTGTGGGTTGGGTCCTGAGTTCGTTAGCTCAGGCAAGATCCCTCTGCCTGAGCTAAGATGGGCAAGATCCCTCTGCTCCCCATCACACTTGCTCAGCCCAGGGAATCTAAAGCCCACGTTGAAGCTGAAGGAGAGTTGGAGTTGAACAACAAGAGTTTGTTTTCCCCTGTAAGTTCTCCCTCCCTCAGCACCTGTGTCTTTCTTCACGTGCAGAATCTCCACTCTTGTCACCTAGGCTTGAGTGCAATGGTGCGATCTCGGCTCATTGCAACCTCTGGCTCCTGGGTTTAAGTGATTCTGTTCTCCTGCCTCAGCCTCCCAAGTAGCTGGGATTATAGGCATGTGCCAGCACACCCGGCTAATTTTGTATTTTTAGTAGAGATGGGGTTTCTCTATGTTGGTCAGGCTGGTCTCAAACTCCTGACCTCAGGTGATCCATCTGCCTTGGCCTCTCAAAGTGCTGGGATTACAGGTGTGGGCCACTGCACCCAGCCTTGGAGTGAGGTTTCTCAAGTTCCTTTAGCTTCTCTTTTGTTTTCGCTTTCTAGCCCCCTTCTCCTACTTTCCTTTGGTCTCAGAAAAAGATTTGTTCTAGTTCCTCTTAAAAAAAAAAAAATTAGAGGGCCAGGCCTGGTGGCTCATGCATGTAATCCCAGCACTTTGGGAGGCTGAGGCTGGCAGATCACCTGTCAGGAGTTTGAGACCAGCCTGGTCAACATGGCAAAATCCTGTCTCTACTAAAAATACAAAAGTTATCCAGGCATGGTAGGGTGTACCTGTAATCCCAGCTACTTGGGGGGCTGAGGCATGAGAATTGCTTGAACATGGGAAGTGGAGGTTGCAGTGAGCCGAGATCGCACCATTGCAGTCCAGCCTAGGGACACAGTGAGAATCTGCCTCCAGAAAAAAATAAAACAAAACAACAACCAAAAAAGTTAGAGCTATAAGTCACACACCATGAAATTCACCCCTTTAAAATGTGCAGTTCAGTGGTTCACAGCCTTGTGTAACCATCACCACTACCTAATTCCAGAACATTTTAATCACCTCAAATAGAAACCCTGTCGCCATGAGCAGCTACTCCCCATTACCCCTTCCCTCAGCCCCTGGCAGCCTCTCATCTGCTTTCTGTCTTTATGGTTTGTCGTATATAGACATTTGTGTAGTGGAAATCGTATCATAAGTAGCCTTTGGCATGATAATTTTGTGTTGCAAATAAGTTACAGACTGGGTAATTTATAAACAATGGAAGTTTATTTGACTCCTGGTTCTGGGGGCTGGAAAGTCTAAGGTTGAGGGGCTGCGTCTGGTTAGGGCCTTCTTGCCGTGTTGTAACATGGTGGAAGACATCACGTTGCAAGGGAACAAGAGAGGGCCAGACTTGTTTTTATAGCAAGGCCACTCTTGAGATAACTCACTCCCTTCTGAAATAAACCACATGAATCCATCCATGAGGGTGGATCCCTCATGACCTCATCACTTTTTTTTTTTGAGACGGAGTCTCACATTGCCGCTAGGCTGGAGTACAATGGTGTGATCTAAGCTCAGTGCAGTCTCTGCCTCACATGTTCAAGTGATTCTCCAGCCTCAGCCTCCTGAGTAGCTGGGACTACAGGTGCACATCACCATGCCCAGTTAATTTTTTTGTATTTTAGTAGAGTTGGGGTTTCACCATGTTGGCCAAGATGGTCTCCATCTCCTGGCCTTTTAATCCGCCTGCCTCCGCGACCTCATCACCTTTTAAAGGTCCCAGCTCTCAATACTGTTGTATAGGGAATTGCTTCCAATCCATGAACTTTGGAGGATGCACTTAAACTATCTGTCTTCTTTCACTTAGCATCATGTTTTCCAGATCCATCCACGTTGTAGCATGAATCAGAACTTCATTCCTTCTTAAGGCTGAATAATATATATTGGATGGATAAGCTACATTTTGACTGTTCATTCAGTTGATAGACAGTTGGATTGTTTCTACTTTTTAGCTATTATGAATAATGTTGCTGGGAACATTTGTGCACAATATTTGTTTTTGTTTTTTGGAGATAGGGTCTTGTCCTGTTGCCCAGGCTGGAGTGCAGTGGTGGGATCACAGCTCACTGCAGCCTCAGCCTCTTGGGCTAAAGTGATCCTCTCACCTCAGCCTCTTGAGTAGCTGGGACCACAGGTACATGCCATCATGTCTGGCTCATTTTTAATTATTTTTGTAGAGACCGTTCTTCCTGTGTTGCCCAGGCTGGTCTTGAACTCCTGGTCTCAGGTGATCCTCCTACCTTGGCCTCCCAGAGTAGTGGGATTACAGGCATGCACCACTGTGCCTGGCCTTGTGTACAAGATTTATGTAGACATGTTTTTAATTCTTTTAGTTATACACTGAGGAGTGGAATTGCTGAGTCACATGGTAACGCTATGCCTAACTTCTTGAGGAGTTATACCACTTTCCAAAACAGGTGCACCATTTTACGTTCCCACTGGTGGCAATGAGGGTTGGGATTCTCGACATTCTCACCCATACTGTCATCCACTTCTTTAAATATAACCTTTCTTTAAATGTAACCTTTAAGTGTAACCCTTTAAAAATGTAACCTTTCTTTAACTGTAAGCTCTTCTTTAAATGTAACCTTTCTTTGTATGTTCTTGGTGTAGTTCTTTCTTGCTCTTTTTTTCTTTTTTTTTTTTTTTTTTTTTTTTTTTTTTTTTGCTTTTTAGGTTTTGGGGTACATGTGAAGAACATGCAAAATTGTTGCATAGGAACACACGTGGCAGTGTGATTTGCTGCCTTCCTCCCCATCACCTACTTCTGGCATTTCTCCCCTTGCTATCTCTCCTTGCTCTTTTTTTCTAATAACATCTGTTTTCTGAAAGTAGTATCAGTCCTCATAGAATTTTTAGCTAGGAATTTACCTCTCATTTCCCCCTCAGTCTACACATAGCTCCCTACGCAGATGCTGCCTTCCCTTTCAGGATCTTCCCAAGTCTAGGGTCAATATTAAAAGAAAAAGCCGGACTGGGAGCGGTGGCTTATGCCTGTAGTCTCACCACTTTGGGAGGCAAGGTGGGTGGATCACCTCGGGTCATGAGTTTGAGACCAGCTTGGCCAACATGGTGAAACCCTGTTTCTATTAAAAATACAAAAATTAGCTGGGCGTGGTGGTGTGCACCTGCAATCCCAGTTACTCAGGAGGCTGAGGCACAAGAATTAATTGAACCTGGGAGGTGGAGGTTGCAGTGAGCTGAGATTGCGCCACTGTATTCCAGCCTGGGTGACAGATCAAGACTCCATCTCAAAAAAAAAAAAAATTAGCTGGACATGGTGGTGCATGCCTGTAATCGCAGCTGCTTGAACCTGGGAGGTGGAGGTTGCAGTGAGCCAAGATCTCACCACTGCATTCCAGCATGGGTGACAGAGTGAGACCCTGTCTCAAAAATAAAATGAAAAGAAAATGTCTGTGTGTGTACACACATACATGAATATATATTTTCAATTTTATGCCACCGTTTCTTTTTGATAGGAATTCATTTTTTTCTCAATTCATTTCCGATTGGAAATCTGAACTTGGAGATATATGTATTCAGTATTAAAACTTGAATATTTACATTCAATATTAAAAGAAAAAGCCTATGTGTGTAGAGTGTGGATACATATTCACATTTGTGAATGTATATTTTCAATTTAATGTCACTATTTCTTTGTGATAATTCATTTTTTCCTCTATTCATTTCAGCCTGGGAATCTCAACTTAAACCCAAAGAGTTGCCTTCTATGCGGGATATTTTGGAAGAAGCATCCTCCAGGGACATGCAAATGGTAAGATGTCTGGGGTTTTCCCTGGCTCCCAGCACAGGAGAAGTTGCGGGACACGTGAGGTAGAAATACAGGACCAGTGCCAGGGAGATGTTAGCAGCATGGGTGTCTCTTGGAAGGGAGACAGTATCTGAGGGGAGTGTCTGTGACTTCAAGATTTTTTTTTTCTTTTTTTTTTTTGAGACAGAGTCTTGCTCGGTCACCCAGGCTGGAGTGCAGTGGCACGATCTCGGCTTATTGCAGCTTCTGCCTCCTGGGTTCAAGTGATTCTCCTGCTTCAGCCCCCTGAGTACCTGGGACTGCAGGTGTGCACCACCATGCCTGGATAATTTTTGTATTTTTTGGTAGAGACAAGAGTTTCACTGTGTTGGCCAGGCTGGTCTCAAACTCCTGGCCTTAAGTGATCTACCTGCCTCTAGAACCCTTTTTTCCTAGGTTTCCTGAAGGAAACATTTTAGTAAATGTGAGTCAGACATTGAGTGTGTGAAATATGACTTCCTCTTCAGCAACGGTCGGAAAATCACCTCCTGTTAGAGAAGCCCCATTTTGAATAAGAGGGAGTCCTGTAGGAGAGCTGGCAACACACTCAACTGGAAGAACTCCAGCGGCCTAAACAAGGCCTGGCTTGAAAATGCTGAGAATGTGCTCCTGGCGGGGAGGACCCCTGGGCACTGGCACAGATACTGGCGAGCTTTCCACCATCACTCACCTCTTTTTTTGTTTTTTAAAAGACAGGGCCTCTGTCTTCCACACAGGCTGGAGTGCAGTGGCATGTTCGTGGCTCACTGCAGCCTCAAACTCCTGGGCTCAAGTGATCCTCCTTCTTCAGCCTCCCAAGCCACTGGGACCACAGGCCTAAACCACCAGAGTCACCGTGCTCAGATGCTTTTTTCTCCTTCCTTCCTTCCTTCCTTCCTTCCTTCCTTCCTTCCTCCCTCCCTCCCTCCCTCCCTCCCTCCCTTCCTCCCTTCCTTCCTCTCTCTCTTTCTTTCTCTCTCTCTCTTTCCCTTTCCCTTCCCATACCTTACCTTCCTTACCTTTCTTTCCTTTCTCCCTTTCTTTTCTTTCTGTCTTTCTGACATTGGGGTCTTGCTATGTTGCTTAGGATGATCTTGAACTTCTGGCCTCATGTGATCCTCTCACCTCAGTCTCCCAAGTAGCTGGGACCACAGGTGTGAGCCAGTGGGCCCAGCCATCACTCACCTTTTGTCAGGAGCAAGCTCCACCTGGAGAAAAGGCACCTGATGAGTTGGAAGGAGGCAGGAACAGTTTCTGGAGGAGCTGGAGAGGTGGGGAGAATAAGCTATGAGGGCCAGGTGCCCTCTTCGTTTCTGTGAGCTCTCTCCTTTCAGCACAGTGCTCCAGCACCTTCCACAGAACTCCACAGCCAACCCAGCAAGCCCCTTGTAATGGGTGCTGAGAGTGGCAGGCATGGGGCTTTTGTTACATCAGAGCCTCAGGAAATAGGTGGTCACAGACTATTCTGAGTGAGTAGAGGGGGTCCACCTGTGGACACATGTAGAGAAGCTCAGCAAGTTCAACCCTGAAGACATCCAGCCCTTGAGTAATAGAGGTGGGTTTGGAGCAAGGAGTTGAACTCAGACTAACCGCAGGGACCACAGTCTCAGCTGCCAGGCTCTACTGCCTGATGATCATACAACCTGCCACTGGGTTGATGGTGCTGACCCTTCAGACCCTTCAGGTAGTCCTTCCAGGCCATACCAGGCACCACTGAGCCTTATTGCAATAATTGAGGCCCCATACAGTGGCTCTGAGGCCTCCCTGTCACATGGGGAAAAGTGCTGATGGCCACGGACAGATTGAGTCCTCATGGCCTCCCTCTCTTTGATCAGCTGGTCCAGTGGAGGGACCAGTGAAGAGAGAATAGGAAACTGCTCTTAGAAGAGCCCCCAGGAAGTCAGGCGCAGGGGCTCACCCCTGGAATCCGAGCAACTCAAGAGGCCAAGGCAGGAGGACCTTGGGAGCCCAGGAGTTTGAAACCAGCTTCAGCGACCTAGCAAGAACCCACCTCTGCAAAACATACAAAAATTAGCCATAGCCAGGTGTGGTGGTGTGCACCTGTAGTCCCAGCTACTTGGGAGGGTGAGGTGAGAAAATTCCTTGAGCACAGGAATTCAAGGCTGCAGTGAGCCTTGTGTTCATACCACTGCCTTGGTGATGGAGTGGGATTCTAGCTCAAAAAAGGAAAAATAAATGAAAAAACCCCAAGGGAGGCTGAGGAACAGGCCTCTCCAGGATCAACCCTTCTGTCCCAGGGCCACCCCACAGCTGCCTCTTCTGCAGATGCCCGTCTCTATGAGGCTACAGTGTTGCTGCTTTCATCCTCTGCTGTGTCCCCAGGGCCTGCACTAGCAGTGCCCATGTCTTAGTCTGTTCTTACCCTGCTAATAAAGAGATAGCCAAGACTGGGTCATCTCTAAAGGATGGGGTTTTAATTAACTCACAGTTCAGCATGACTCGGGAGGCCTCAGGAAACTTACAACATGGAGGCAGGGGATGCAAACACATCTTTCACAAGGTGGCAGCAAGGAGAAGTATAAATAAAAGGGGGAAAAGCCCCTTATAAAATCATCAGATCTCGTGAGAACTCACTCTCTATCATGAGAACAGCAGCCTGGGGGAAACTGCCCCATGATTCAGTTATCTTCTACCAGTCCCTCCCATGACATGTGGAGATTATGGGAACTACGATTCAAGATGAGATTTGGGTGGGGACACAGCCAAACCATATCAGCCCAGTATGTATTTGTTGGACAAACAGACGGAACACCTAAAAACAGTTTCTTAAGTAGAATGATCTGTGTCAAAATCATTCTGATGCCAACACTTGTCTCAAAACGTACCCGTGGGATTTTGATTTATGACACAGAGAGGCCAACGTCATTGGAAAATTTTTATTACTTATATTTCTTGGGAGGACAGGGCACACCACACCACACAGGGCCACACAGGGAAGCACAGGGTCAGCCTGGAGGCAGAAAGGAGCAAGGGGATAGCCCAGGCCAGAGCCTTTCTTGGGGTTTCCACAGGAAAGGTGAGGCTGGGCAGGGTAAACTGTGAGTTTGAATAATTCCAGTGGACCCTGGGGGATAGGTGCTGTCCCTGGCTGATTGAGGGCAGAGGAAATATTAGCTGGGTGAGAGTGAGGTAAGGAGCTGGTACAGCCTGTGGGCTCTGGGTCCCAGGGGAGGTAGAGACAAAGTTGGTAGGCAGCTTGGCCCTGTGACTGATGGATGCCCTGTGAACAAGGACAGCATTCCTCTTCAGGACCAAGATATCCCGACCTGTCTTTTTTTGTTTTTTTTGGATGACTTAAACAGCAGAAATTTATTTTCTCACCCTTCTGGAGGCTGGAAGCCCAGGATCAAGGTGTTGGCCGGGTTAGGTTCTCCTGAGGCTTCTCTCTTTGGCTGGCAGGTGGCCATCCTCCTGCTGCCTCTTCACATGGTCACCCCTCTGTACCACACCTTCATGTCTCATAGTCTTTCCAGGGGCTCTGTCCTAACCTCAGTTCTGTCTCTGTATCTGCAGTGTGTTCAATCCTCCATACCCTTGGTGGCAGCTGGTGCCTGCAGTAGGTTGGGATAGTTACTAGGTCTGAGGTCACCAGATGCCAGACCTGTGTACCTTGGCTTTTTTTTTTTTAGACACAGTCTCGCTCTGTTGCCTGGGCTGGAGTGCTGTGGTGTGATCTTAGCTCACTGCAACTTCTGCCTCCCAGGTTCAAGTGATTCTTGTGCTTCAGCCTCCCAAGCAACTGGGACTATAGGCATGCACCATCACACTTGGCTAACATTTGTAATTTTAGTAGAGATGGGTGTATTAGTCTGATTTCATGTTGCTAATAAGGACATACCTGAGACTGGGCAATTTACAAAAGAGAGAGAGGTTTAATTGGACTTACAGTTCCACATGGCCAGGGTAGCCTCACAATCATGGCAGAAGGCAAGGAGGAGCCAGTCATGTCTTATAAGGATGGTAACAGGCAAAGAGACCTAGTTCAGGAAAACTCCCTCCTTATAATAACCTTCAGATCTCTTGAGACTTATTCATTATCACAAGAATAATCATGGGAAAGACCTGCCCCCATGATTCAATTACCTCCCACTGGGTCCCTCCCACAACATGTGGGAATTCAAGATGAGATTTTGGTGGGGACACAGCCAAACCACATCGATGGGGTTTCGCCGTGCTGGCCAGGCTGGTTTGGAACCCCTGGCCTCAAGCATTTCTCCCACCTCAGCCTCCCAAAGTGCTGGGATTACAGGCATGAACCACTGCACCTGGCCCCATTTGCCTTGACTTCTGGCAGCCCTAAACCCCAAACCAAAGGTTTGTTCTCAGGCCGAGAACAGCTATGGTACCACCTCTGTCCTGCTCAGCACCCTCCTCTCTTTTCCCAGGGGCCAGGGCTGTTCCTGAGGATGCAGCTGGTGCCGTCCATGGAAGAGAGGGAGACACCATTGACTCAAGAGGACTGGCCAGCTCTCCAGGAGCCACCTTGGTCTTCGGGATGCATGGTAAGCACAGGAGGGTTCAACTGTGATGGCACCATGTGCAGTCAGGAAAGCCTGGGGTGTGGGGTGTCTGTAAGCTGGGGGAGGAGAGGGAGAGGAGGTGGGTGTCTGGGCCTACATTTGGGAGTTGGGAATCTGTAAGAGGCCCAGGCTGTGGGCTTGGGGTGTTAGAGTCTGTTTCTGTGTTGAATGTACTTGTCCCCAGGGAGATGGCGGGCTCCAGGGTGGGTCCTGGGGGAGGGTCTGACTGCTGGACTGTGAGCCCTGCCTTTCCTGGTCCAGCCTTTTTCCTTTCTGTCCTTCTACCCCAGCCCCACTGCTTCTGTGACCCTGAAACTGACAGGAACTGGCAGGTCCTATGACCTGAGGGCTGGGCAAGGAAGCGTCCAGCCTCAGGGCAGTGAGGACCTCTTGGCTCAGGGCCCTGTATGTCCTCACCAAGGCAGAGAGAGAATGGGAGAGGGATGCTGTAAGGCAGTGGTCCCCAACCCCAGGCCATGGACCAGTACCAGCCCCTCGCCTTTTAGCACCCAGGCCGCAGTGCAGTAGGTGAGTGGCGGGCGAGCATCTGTGCCTGAGCTCCGCCGCCCGTCAGATGAGCAGCAGCACCGAACCCTGTTGTGAATTGCGCATGCGAGGGATTAGGCTGCATGCTCCGTGTAAGAATCTGACTAATGCCTGATGATCTGAGGTGGAACAGTTTCATGCCAAAACCAAACCCCTACCCTGGTTTGTGGAAAAATTGTCTTCCATGAAACTGGTCCCTGGTGCCACAAATGTTGGGGACTGCTGCTGAGGCACATCCTGAGTCCTGCCCTAGGAGAAAAGGCCTCCTCCCACTTGCCCCTGCCCTATTCCCTTACCTGAGGGACCTGCTGCGTGTACCCCCGACCTCCCATCTGCCACCAAGTCCTGCTAGCATTATCTCCAAAATGTAACCCACCTCCAGCTACCCCTCCCATCCCCGCTGCTGCCACCCTGCCCAGAGCCACTGTTAGTTCTCCTGGACTCCAGGTCTGCTCCTGACAGTCACCTGGGCCCCACCCTGGACACAGAGGACAGAGGGATCCCTTAGAACTGCAGGTCAGGTCAGGCGCCTTTCCTGAGTGAGCAGCTGCCAGCAGAGAAGGGTTCAAATCCTACTCCAAGGACTGATATTCCTCCCAGAGAAATTCACTGACTGCCTGCCCCTCATTCACACGGGTCCACTGCCAAGCTCCATTTCCCCTCTGTCCCTCAACCTCCCGGTCGTCTACTCCCCACTTTTTTCCAGCTTTTCCCTGACTTCTGGAGGCTCCCTGGAGTGTGCCATCTCCCCTGGCCTCTCTCCAGGCCATTTTGGATCACAGTGGTTAGCTTTGTACTTAAGGATTGGGTAAAACCCAGCAAGGTGAATGGGCCTGTCTCTTCTTTTATTAATATGTTCCCCAAAGCAGGATCAATCGTGCAGATTCATGTGGGGTGAGCAGGTGTGAGTGGACCTCCTTGGCTTCGTGACTCTAATCTGTGATCCCTGTTACTCTGTCCAGGGACCGAAGGCCGCTGTGCAGATTCAAAGGATGGTGATGCCAGTGCCCACACTGGGCCACCCTGACCCGTGGGTGGCTGGGAATTCTGGTGAGTGAGTGCCATGTGGAACACATGGCCAGAGGGCATTGCTGTCCTTGGGTTCTGTGCAGAAACTTGTAACCCATCCTGCCTGCATTTCGTCTGACTGCAGGCACTGCTGTGGCACCATAGGGAGAGGATACAGAAAGCCTCTCTTCTTATTTGTGTGTTTAAGGGGGAGGGCACTTCCAGTGACAGATCTTTCTGTTAAGAAAGAGAGGGCTTACCCATCCGCAGCAAAGGCCAGATCTCTCTTTGGGCAACAGGAAATTATCGACATGATAATGTCGATTTTGAAAATTGTGATTGAATCTACTAGAAATGGCCTGTGTTTTAACTGTGCTCTTAAAAATGAGGTCCAGGCTGGTTGCAGTGGCTCATGCCTTTAATCCCAGTGCTTTGCAAGGCCTAGGCAGGAGGATTGCTTGAGGCCTGGAGTTCGAGACCAGCCTGGGTAACTTAGTGAGACCCCTAGTTCTACAAAATAAATAAATAAATAAATAAGCCATGGGTAGTACCTCTCAAGTCCCAGCTACTTGAGCGGCTGAGGCAGGAGGATCGCTTGAGTCCAGGAGGTCGAGGCTGATGTGAACTACAATTGCTTTACTGCACTTTCCAGCCTGGGTGACAGAGTGAGTCCCTGTCTAGAAAAAAGAGGTTCAAAGCCACTTCTCTTGAGAAGTGGGGACGAAATTAATTCTAGAAGACAAATAACATTTTAGCTTTAATGATAAAGTATTTTTTTTTCCAGTTTGCCTTCTAGTAAGAATAATAAACTTTGTTTCTTAAAAATGCCATCCACTCTTGTGTTTGGAATCTGTGTTATCTTCTTGATAGGAAACAGTTCTTAGATCTAGGTCATGTGTTGCTCTTCAGTATATTTTTGATAAGCCTTCTGGGCTGGGATTTATTTTGTTACTTCTTTTTTTTTGAGATGGCATCTTGCTCTGTTGCCCGGACTGGAGTGCAGTTGTGTGATCTTGGCTCACTGCAACCTCTGTTTCTCGGGTTCAAGCCATTCTCCTGCCTCAGCCTCCCAAGTAGCTGGGATTACAGGTGTGCATTACCACGCCTGGCTAATTTTTGTATTTTTAGTAGAGACAGGGTTTCACCATGTTGGCCAGGCTGGTCTCGAACTCTTGACCTCAGGTGATCTGCCCACCTTGGCCTCCCAAAGTGCTGGGACCACAGGCGTGAGCCACTGCGCCCGGCCTATTTTGTTACTTCTTGAAGCGGGTGTGACTGTTGGCCGGTGGTGTGATGGGGATGAGGAAACTGTCACAAAGAAAACCCTGACCCTTCCTCTGTGGAACTCACAGTCTGGCTTGGGGGTCAGGGTTTGAAATGAAGAACAGAGTCCAATGTAAGCGTGTTATACAAGGACTTCATCTCAGGGGATGGGGGAGAGTTCTGGGAAAGGATGGATATTTAAGCTTAGGCCAGGGTTTCTCAGCTACAGAACTGCTGAGACTGGGGCCCGTTTGCTGTCAGTTGTGGGGCCGTCCTATGCATTGTGGGATGTTGAATGGCATCCCTGGCCTCAACTCACTAGATGCTAGGAGCACTTTTCCTCTATGTGTTTGCTAGGGCTGCCGTATCAAAGTTCCACCATCCAGGTGGATTAAACAGCAGAAATGTATTGTCTCAGTTCTGGAGGCCAGAAGCTCGAGATCAAGGTGTTGGAACGGTTGGTTCCTTTTGATGCCTCTCCTTGGCGTGTGGATGGCCATCTTCTCTCTGTATCTTCACAGCATCTCCCCTCTGTACATGCCTGTGTCTAGATATCTTCTTCCTGTGATAGGGTTTGGATTTGTGTCCCCGCCTAAATCTCATGTCAAATGGTAATCTCCAGTGTTGGAGGAGGGGCCTGGTGGGAGGTGACTGGATCGTGGGGTTGGATTTTTCCCTTGCTGTTCTCATGATAGTGAGTGAGGTCTCATGAGATCTGGTTGTTTGAAAGTGTGTAGCACCTGCCCCTTCACTCTCTTGCTCCTTCTCCAGCCATATAGTGCGTATCTGTGTCCCCTTTGCCTTCTGCCATGATTGTAAGTTTCCTGAGGCCTCCCCAGCCATGCTTCCTGCACAGCCTGTGAAATCATGAGCCAATTAATCCTCTTTTCTTTATTCAGTCCTCATTCTCAGGTAGTTCTTTATAGCCGTTCGAGAATGGACATCTTCTAAGTACATCTTCTAATACATCTTCTAAGTACACCCATCATATTGGACTAGGGCCCACCCTACTGACATCGTTTTAATTTAATTACCTCTAAAGACTCTATGTTCAAATACGGTTACCAGGGGTGAGATAAGATACCAGGGATTAAGACTTCAACATTTGAATTTTTGGGGTAATACAATTCAGCTTATAACAGCCACATATCCCCTAGTCTTGAAAAGCTAAAACGTCTCTAGATGCTACAGACTGAATTGTCCTCCCTTTCTCCAGAGTTCATGTTGAAGCCCAGTTGTCTCCCCCAAAGGTGCCTGTATTGGAGATGGGGCCTCTAGGGAGGTGATAAAGGTTAAGTTAGGTCATAAGGGTGAAGCCCTGAACCAACAGAACTCATGCCCTTACAAGAAGAGGAAGATACACCAGAGCTTTCTCTCTCCTCTGTAAGGACACAGCCAGAAGGCAGCCATCTGCAAGCCACGAAGAGAGCCCTCACCAGGAACCAACCATGCTGGCATCCTGATTTCAAACTTCCAGCATCTGGAACTGTTAGCAGCAAATTTCTGTTACGTCACCTAGGACATGGTATTTTGGAATGACAGCTCAACACCAGACATTGCTAAATGTCCCCTGGGGGACAAGCCCTGACCTAGACCATGATAAGCACTGTCACATTTAGCTTGGGTTGAGCTGTTGGGTGGTTTGGAGAGAGGATATCAGGCCCAGGAAAACACTGATAACATTCCCCATGGAGCAAGAACCTGTTGCATCCAGGGCTCATGGAAGATGGTGTGAAGGGAGCAGGGAGAAGTGGGGAGAGAGTGATGTGAGCTGATTGAAGAAGGAGTAGGTTCCAGATCGCTTAGTGCTGTGACCAGCTTGGTCATAGAGACCCCAACCCAGGTGGTGCTGAAGGAATGAAGAAACAGAAATAAAGATAGAGTGTAAAAGTGAGGAGCAGAGTGGGACGTCGGGGCTGACAGTGTTTCCCAGCTGACAGCCCAGAGCAGACTCTGACTGATGTATTTATTCTTTGTGAATAAGTGATTATTTTTAATAAGCAGGTGCTCAGTGTTTCTTCATAGAATAAAGAAGAAACCAGACTAGACTAAACAGGCAGCTAGTGCCTGTTCACTACTAAAATAGAAATAAGCTAGAAAGCATTCTTTGTGAGTCAGCAATGGGGGCAAGGTCAGATATCCTGTGTTTTGGGAGCTGGTTTAACTAGTGCATAACTGGTACATACTGCTTACTATTCTAGAAGTTTTCTGCCTGGGGATGGCTCGGTGTTCCTTGCCATTACCTTTCAGCAAACAACATCTACTCCATCACACACATGTCAAGAACTTCTCCCAAGTTCAGGGCTTGGTGTGCAGGAAGAGAACCCTGGCTTATGTTCTAAGCCCACCGAGAGCCAGTGACGTGTTTAGGTGAGTGCTGCAGTGCACTTGTGATTTTAACAGAATCCCACCCCCAGCACCAGGGAGGAGCGTGGGCTCAGGGAGGAAAGCAGTGGTAGATGGAGGCCATCAGGAGTAGAACGGTGCTGGTCTAGACTGGGGGTGAGTGTGGAGGAAGTGTGCTGGGTTCCCCCAAGACCACCCCAGGGTCGATGATCCACTAGGACGACTCACAGCATATGTCGTACTCATGACTGTGATTTATTACTACAAGTGAATATGAAGCAGAATCAGCAAAGGGGTGCTGGACGCAGTGGCTCACGCCTATAATCCCAGGTGTGAGGTGGGAGGATCACCTGAGGTCAGGAGTTCAAGACCAGCCTGGGCAACATGGCGAAACTCCGTCTTTACTAAAAATACAAAAATTAGCTGGGCATGGTGGTGTGCACCTGTAATCCCAGCTACTCAGGAGGCTGAGGCAGGAGAATCGCTTGAACCTGGAAAGCAGAGGTTGCAGTGAGCCGAGATGGTGCTGCTGCACTCCAGCCTGGGTGACAGAGTTTCTTCTATCAGTTAGGGCAGTGGGAACCTTCTTGAAATCCAGGTTCTCAGACTCCACCCAAGGGCCAGCCTTGCAAACACATCTTGCTAAGGAGACCATCAGGGCCATCTGTCTTAACTCCTTTCTGCACAGTAGGGAAGTGAGGAATGATTTAAAACACATAGAGGCCAGGTGTGGTGGCTCATGCCTGTAATCCCAGCACTTTGGGAGTCTGAGGTGGGAGGACTTCTTGAGGCCAGGAGTTTAAGACCAGCCTGGGCAACATAGCAGACCCCATCTCTACAAAATAAGAAAATTAGCCAGGCATGGTTGTGTGCGTGCACCTGTGGTCTTGCTACTCAGGAGGCTGAGGAGGGAGAACTACTTGAGCCCAGAAATTCCAGGCTGCAGTGAACTAGTCCAGCCTGGATGAGAGAGCAAGACCCTGTCTCAAAAAAATTATGGTAGTAATGCATATAAAACATTTAGAGAAGGTCAAGTTAATTTGGTGTTTCATGTATTCATTTACCAATGACATGGAGCGTTTTTGTGCCAAGTAGGGTATCAAGGACAGGGCAGCAAAAGCACCCAGGCTTATTCTTAAAAAGTTTCCAATCCAGTGAGGCTGACAGAAAATAAACACTCATGGCAGCAGTACAAAGTTGGTTACAGATGGGTAAGGGCTGCAAAGAGGGAGAAAGGGTCCTATCAGAGAAAAGGAGAGAAGGGGCTCTTTCTACAGGGGAGGAGACCTCAGGATGGGATACTCTGAGGGGAACATTTCAGTGGATCCAAAAAGAAAAGGCTCGATGTAGGTGTTGGCTGTAGCGGGGATGGATGGGAGAGGGGCTTGGGGTTGACTACTGCCATGTAGAGACCTCATCACTATTTATTCTGATTAGTTGCTGGAAGCTATAGAGTGTCAGAAAGGGGTAAGGTCTCTGATTAAAGACAGGGACAGCACTTCACGAGATTGAGGACATGGTTAGGGAAAGCAGGATTTAGGAGGTTGGTGATGAGGTTTTTTTTTTTTTTTTTTTTTTTTACATAGTCTCGCCCCGTTGCCCAGGCTGGAGTGCAGTGGTGCGATCTTGGCTTACTGCAACCTCCGCCACCTGGGTTCAAGTGATTCTTGTGCTTTAGCTTCCTGGGTGGCTGGGACTACAGATGTGTGCCACCACACCCAGCTAATTTTTGTACTTTTAGTAGAGACAGGGTTTCACCATATTGGCCAGGGTGGTCTCCAACTCCTGACCTCAGGTGATACGCCAGCCTTGGCCTCCCAAAGTGCTGGGATTACAGGTGTGAGCCATTGCACCTGGCCTATTTTTTTTTAATAACAGAAATTTCTGTTTCATAGTTTAAGATACTAGAAGTCCGAAATTGAGGTGTCGACAGGACCGTGTTCCCTCTGATGGCTTGGGGTTGGGGGGCGGGGGTGGATCCTGCACCTGCCTTTTGATGGTGGTCTGCAGCCCTGGTTCTCCTTGGCTGTGGGTGCAGCCCTCCCCTCTCTGCCTGTGTTGCCTCATGGCGATCTTCCTTCTGTGTATCTGTCTCTGTCTCTTCTCTTAGGAGAAACATTGTGTTGGATTAAGGGCCCTGTTGGATTATCCAACTCTCATGTGATCTCAACTTGTTACATCTACAACAATCCTGTTTCCAAATAAGATCACATTTTGAAGTACTGGGGGTTAGGACTTCCCCTTTTCAGGGAGACACAATTCGAGCCATAGCAATCTGTTCTCTAGTCCTGGCAAATTCATGTCCTTCCCAAAATACACTCACTGTGATCCTGACATCCCCCGAGTTTTAATCCATTTCAGCATCAACTCTAAGTGCAAAATCTCATCTAAACACCATCAAGTCAAAGTCTCATCTGATCTCATGAGAATCCAACATCTCATCATGTCACTCATCTACATCAGGTAGGAGGGAGACTCAGAGTGTGGTCTATGGTGGGGCAAAATTCCTCCCCATCTGCAAACCTGTGAAATCAGAAAGCAAGCAATCTGCTTCCAAAATACAGTGATGGGGCAAGCATAGGATAGACATTCCCATTTCAAAAGGAGAAACTGGAAGAGAAAAGGGGTAATGGATCCAGAACAAGTTAAAACCCATCAGGGCAAATGCTATGAGGTTTCCAGGCCTGGAAAAAAAATCCTCTTCGGTTGGGAACTCTGACCTCTGGACCTCATTTTGGCTACATTCTATTCCTGTTCCCTTAGATGGGCAGAAAGAGTTGAGCCAATGGTTGGATACATGGATCTGGTGTTCATATGTGAGAGTCAGCCTGGAGATTTGGGCTTCATCATGCAGATTTGGGAATTGACACCCATAGAATGGGCGAGGTTGCCCACCAAGGCAGAGGATTGAGGAAAACGTGAAGAGGAGGGTCTGCAACCTGTGGACGCCAGCAGCATGTTGGAGGAGAAGCTCTTATAGGAAAAAGAGGAGGCTGGGTTGTGATCACTGATCACAGGCTGGGTGGGCCACAAGAAGGAGGGATTGGCCGGGTGCAGTGCCTTTCAACTGTAATCCTGGCTACTCAGGAGGCTGCGGTGGGAGGAGCACTTGAGGCCAGGAATTCAAGGCTAGCTTGGGCAACATAGTGAGACCCCCCCCCATCTCTAAAAAAATTTTAAAAATATTAGCTTGGTGTGGTGGTGCACACATGTAGCCTCAGCTACTTGGGAGGCTGAGGTAGGAGGATCACTTGGGCCCAGGAGTTTGAAGCTGCAGTGAGCTGTGATTGTGCCACTGCACTCCAGCCTGGGTGACAGAGAAAGACCGTGGCTCAAAACACCACCACCACCACCAGCAGCAGCAGCAGCAGCAGCAGCAGCAGCAGCAAAAACAACAACAACAACAAACCCAGGAGATAGAAGATGGTGAACACACATCAGTGGGATTTCCCACCATGGATTGAGGTCACTGGTGATTCCAGAGCAGCCCTTGGAATGGTGGAGCTGGGAAATGAGTGGGAGGGGAGGAAGTGGGCAGAGACAGAACAGTAGCCCAAGGGAAAAGTGGGGTGTTATGGCTTGAATTGTACCCCTTCAAAAAGATATGCTGAGGTCCTAGCCCTGTGGATGTGGCCTTATTGAAAATGAGGGTCTCTGCAGACTAATCCAACATGATTGTGTCTTATGAGAAGAGGAAGATGCCATGTGCAGACAGACACACAGGGAGAGGACCGTGTGACGGTAGAGGCAGATGTCAGAGGGATGCATCTCCCAGCCAAGGAGCCCCAAGCATCGGCGGCCACCACCAGAGGCCAGGGAGAGGCAAGGAAGGACTCTTCTTAGAGCCTCAGAGGAGGCCTGACCCTGCCGACACCTTCATTTTGGACTCCTGGTTTCTAAAACTGCAAGAGGATACATTTCTGTGGTTTTAAAGACACTCAGTTTGTGATACTTTGTTACGGCAGCTGCAAAAAAAAACACATTTGGGGTTAGGAATTGGGTGTGGATCAGGTTTAAAAAGTGAGGGGACATGGATAAAGCTGGAAACCACCATTCTCAGCAAACTGACACAAGAACAGAAAACCAAACACTGCATGTTCTCACTCATAAGCGAGGGTTGAACAATGAGAACACATGGACACAGGGAGGGGAACATGACACACTGGGGTCTGTTGGGGGGTGGGGGGCTAGGGAGGGACAGCAGGGGGTGGGGGATTGGGGAGGAATAGCATTAGGAGAAATACATACTGTAGATGATGGAGTGATGGATGCAGCAAACCGCCATGGCATGTGTATACCTATGTAACAAACCTGCATGTTTTGCACATGTACACCAGAACTCAAAAGTATACATGTACATCAGAACTCAAAGTATACATAAAAAAAAGTGAGAGGAAAGGTCCCATCTGGAGGGAGAGGCAAGGATGCAGGGAATGAGGAGTGATCTGAGAGTTGCTTGCTTGTCTGTCATAGGCCAGAGGGAGGATGCCTGGTGCAGAGGGAGGGATGGTGTTGATTTGAAGGCAGGTGCGAAGTAAGTTTCCTTTTAAGAGAGACTTGCAGGGTGGTTGTGGTTTATCTGCCCTCGACTTGTGGTAAGTCCTGGACACCACTAGCCCTGCAGTGTAGGGGGCAGAGGAAGGGGCCAGACAGCCAGAGAGGAAGAGCTGTCCCAAAGCTGAGTCTGGGGACAGCGGTGGGTGCTATAGGAACTTTGGAGTCTTCTGGTGAATTATTGAGTCTATGGCTCTTGGGATATGGAACGAAGGGGTGGGTGTGTGTGTGCGTGCGCACGCATGCACGTGCACATGTCTGTGTGTGCTACAGTCTGCGTATGTTGTGTGTATGCACGAGTGCATGTAGTATGTAACTGTGTTTGTGTGCATATGTGTGCGGGTCTGTGTGTATGTGTGTGCATGTGATTGTGTGCTTGCATGCTTGTGCAAGAGCTTGCAGATATGGGTCTGCATGTGTGTGTCTCTGAGTGTGTGCATATGCATGTGTATGTGTGTACACATGATCACTCACTGCCAGGCTTGGGGCTTGTGAGTGTGCCCAGTAGGCCAGGCACCAACCCTCATGCCTCCTCCCCTCTCCCCTAGCTGTGTCCACAGGGGACCCTGCCTGGCTTCAGGAGGACAGAGTAGAGGAAGAAGCCATGGTTCCTGGGTTGCCAACCGCCTGTTCACAGGTAGGTAAGAACTTCCTGTTCTAAAAGAACACTGCTATGCCCAAAGGCTGGACTTGCCCTTTTCCTATAACCTGCCTGGCTCATCTCACAGGGTTGGTTTCCATGCCTCCAGGGACTGGACTTCTTGCAGTGGGTGTCAGTGGGGGAGCCCGGCCCACGATCCTACCACCCCATTCAGACCCTCCCCAGGCTGTCGAACACCAGGAGGGAAAGCAAAGCAAAGATGTGAGCCATTCTCATTTTGTGGTCTCCATGATCTCACTGAGCAAAGAGTTGAGTCATTTTCCAGATATTTCCCTCTTGCCTGTACCATGCTCAGCTCTGTTGGACCCTGGAGCTAGAAGGGGGACAAATCTGCAAGAGCTTCCTGGCTCATTGTCAATAGATAAGTCGTGTCCTGAGGTTGAGGACTTGCAACATTAGCTTATCACCTCTTGCTGTTCTTGCTTAAGGAGTGGCGAGTAGAGAGAAGAGTTCTAGTTCAGAGTCCTGAGCCAAGGGGCAGATTCTGGGGTATCTCAGAACCCCCAGACTGAAAGTCCTCTGCCTCAGGTCTCGCTTCCCCAGGCCTGCCAGCCTGCAGCATCCTCTGGTGTACTGGTAGGGGCGGTCCCTGGCTGAGCCGGGATGGATGTGTGTTTTAGGAACCAGTCACCTTTGCAGATGTGGCTGTGGTGTTCACCCCAGAAGAATGGGTGTTTCTGGACTCGACTCAGAGGAGCCTGTATAGAGATGTGATGCTGGAGAACTACAGGAACCTGGCCTCTGTGGGTAAGGTGGCTTCATCTTGTCTTTCCAGAGCAAGTCAGAGTCTTGCTCTGTTGCCCAGGCTGGAGTGGGAGGTGTGACCTTGGCTTACTGCAACCTTCGCTTCCTGGGCTCAGCTGATCCTCCCACCCCAGCCTCCCTAGTAGCTGGGACCACAGGTGTGCATCATCACACCTGGCTAATTTTCATGTTTTTTGGTAGAGATGGGGTTTTGCCACGTTGTCTAGTCTGGTCTCGAACTTCTTTGGCTCAAGTGGCCCACCTGCCTCAGCCTCCCAAAGTGCTGCGATTACAGACATGAGCCACCGTGCCTGACCAAGTCTTTGTCTTTTTATCACATGCTATGCAGTAACCATAGCTCTGGGAACTGTGCAAGTCTGGCAAACCTAGAGGTGAAAAACAGATAATTCCCACCCTCATGAGGCTTTCAGTCTACTGGGCTTTGTATGGAATGAAGATCTGTCCGCTTCTCTGTCTCTCTGTGATTAAAAGCTTTTAGACTTCTCAAATGTATTATTGAGCTAGGCCCTTAGTTTTGTAGACCAGAGAGCCTCAGTGTCGTCTTGGACCCAGTGAGGAAACTTGTGTTTAGTTCCTCAGTGAAAGAGCTTGGCTGTGTCCATCAGAATTTAGGCACATGCATTTTGCCACTCCCATCTCTAGAGCCCTTAAAGACTTAATATCAGTCCTTGTGTCATGGTGTGGCACAGTCCTCCCACAACATGGCGTTTTTTTCTCACCAGCAGGTGATCAACTGTGCAAACCCAATGCATCATCTGATTTGGAGCAAAGCGGAGAGCAGTGGAACACTGAGAGGGGAGTCATCTCAGACACCTGTCCAGGTGAGCCCAGGCAGATCAGGTGAACATCATCTCTGGTCAGTAAGGGAAGTGTCCAGTTTGGAAACTGTCAATCAGGGCAACCTATACATACCCTTGACTGAGAAGGCTGCTTGATTGAGCTCCCTTATTAAATGTCACCTTCTTTCCTTTTTCCCTTTCCTGTTTAATCTCTGAAACTTTACATTAATCTTCTAGAAAGATTTGTCCTACTTTCTCTTCATATTTAATATTTCCATGCGTATATTTTATCCATGTCCTCCCCACTGTACATTCTTGCTAATATTTTTTCTCAACATTAGGTTACAATCTTCATGGAATCCTTTTTTGGTAAATCACCTACTATTTCCATCCCATGTTTCTCTGATTACATAACTTCTCACCTAGTCAAATACCTTAAAATTTTCCTTAACTCTTAAATACATTCCTTGTCTTTGTAATTTCTTCCCATATTTAGGATCAGTATTTGGAAAAAAAAGTCCACATGTGCCTTGCTTACTTTTTAATTCACCTTGATCCCACAGTTTCTTTCCCTGCGCACTTAACAATTTCTTCCCTAATTCATTTCAGAACCTCAACTTCAGCCCCAAGAGGCAATTCCTAGCCAAGACAATTTTACGGAGATTCTGTCCATTGGCATGAAAGGGGTAAGACTTTCCAGGGATTACTCTTGGTTCTCTATAGTAGGATGAGTCTGGGGTTGCTGTAAGTTAGAAAAGCAGCCCAAGAGCCAAGAGAGTTTCAAGGCAAGTAGTGCTTGCCCAGGAGAAAGCAGTTTCTTGGAAGAGAGTCTGTAAATGTCATGAACTGGTGGAAAACTAAATGTAGATCATCTTCCTACAGGCAAACATTTTCATAGGTATGACACAGATACCAAGTGTTTAAGACTTAATTTGGCCTAAAAGAAATTGGAAAAATTCTGCACCTAAGAAGCCCTATGAAAGTAATGAAAGATAGTTCTTTGCAACAGAGTATCCACCCTGTTCCACTTAAGGGAACTCTGGGTAGAAATGATATGGACTCAGTAAATGGTACAAGTTTCAGATGTAGAACGGTGTTTCTCTTACATTCATTTCACATTGGGGAGAATATCTGAATCTAATAAGGCCTTTGGTCTTCACATTTTCCTTAATCGACAGGAGCAACCTCAGCCTGCAGAAAAACTCTATAAATATCATGAACTTGAGACACCTTTTAACAGCATTGAACCACTTTTCCAGTACCAGAGAATTCATGCTGGAGAGGCCTCCTATGAATGTCAAGAGAGTAGAAATTCCTTCTTCCAGAGTGCTCACCTAATTGTGCCCGAGAAAATCCATAGTGGGGATAAAACCTATGCATGTAACAGATGTGAAAAATCCTTCAGATACAGCTCTGACCTCATCAGGCATGAGAAGACTCATACTGCAGAGAAGTGCTTTGACTGTCAAGAATGTGGGCAAGCCTTCAAATATTCCTCGAATCTTCGGCGACACATGAGAACTCATACCGGAGAGAAGCCATTTGAATGTAGTCAGTGTGGGAAAACCTTCACGAGGAACTTTAACCTGATTTTGCACCAGAGAAACCACACAGGAGAGAAGCCCTATGAGTGTAAAGATTGTGGGAAAGCCTTCAATCAGCCATCATCCCTTAGGAGCCACGTGAGAACTCACACTGGAGAGAAGCCCTTTGAATGCAGCCAGTGTGGGAAAGCCTTCAGGGAACACTCTTCACTGAAGACACATCTGCGAACCCATACCAGAGAGAAACCATATGAGTGCAACCAATGTGGCAAGCCTTTCCGGACGAGCACTCATCTGAATGTGCACAAGAGGATACACACAGGGGAGAAACTGTATGAGTGCGGGACTTGCGGTCAGGTCTTGAGCCGTCTCTCAACTCTGAAGAGTCACATGCGAACTCACACTGGAGAGAAGCCCTATGTGTGCCAGGAATGTGGGCGAGCCTTCAGTGAGCCCTCATCCCTCAGGAAACATGCAAGGACTCACAGTGGCAAGAAGCCCTATGCATGCCAGGAATGCGGGCGAGCCTTTGGTCAGTCTTCACACCTTATTGTACATGTGAGAACACATAGTGCTGGGAGACCCTATCAATGTAATCAGTGTGAGAAAGCCTTCAGGCACAGCTCCTCACTCACTGTACACAAAAGAACCCACATGGGAAGAGAGAACATCAGGAATGGCAGCCTGCCTTTATCAATGTCTCATCCATTCTGTGGGCCCCTTGCTAATTAACTTCCATTTTGTAAAAATATAAACATATGGGGCTATGACTTTCCATCATAATACTCCCTTAGCTGCATCCCATGTTTCAGTACATAATATTTTCATTTCGGTTTAATTGTAAGTATTGTCAGCCTCCATTATCATTTATTGTCTGATCTATCTATTATTTGGAATTAGATTTTTCAAAACTAATACATGGATATATTTTCATAGAGGTATAATGACATAATGGAATGCATACATCTTAAGTGTACAGTTAGATGAATTTGACAGATGCATACATGCATGTAACCAACACCCCATTCCAGATATAGAATGTTTCTGTCATTCTGGAAGGTTCCTGCATGTTATATGGCTATTTCTTAGTTGCCGTTTTTTTGTTGGTTTCTAATTTAATTACATGGTGAGGTGAGTATGTGGCTTCTTTGTTATTGAGTCTTAGGTATTTGCCGAGATTTGCTATTAGGTCTGGTGTGGCTTATTCTGCTAGCCATCAGCCAAAATTGTCCCTTCTTCCTTAGAAAAGAACCTGGGTTTTCTGTTCATATTGGTAATGTGCACTATTAAAAAGCTTCCATCTGCTGGCCAGGCACAGTAGCTCACACCTGTAATCCCAGCACTTTGGGAGGTCGAGGTGAGTGGATCACCTGAGGTCAGGAGTTTGAGATCAAGCCTGGTCAACATGGTGAAACCCTGTCTGTACTAAAGATACAAAAATTAGCTGGGTTAGGTGGCACGCATCTGTAATCCCAGCTACTTGGGAGGCTGAAGCAGGATAATTGCTTGAACCCAGAAGGTGGAGGTTGCAGTGAGCTGAGATCTTGCCACTGCACTCTGGCCTGGTCAACAGAATGAGAACTCTGTCTCAAAAAAGAAAAAAAAAAAAAGCTTCCGTCTCCCAGCCCTTCTTGTGAGCAGGGGCAGGCCATTTCCTTCAGTCCTGGCTAGTATGAATATGAGAAGTCACTGGATGTCACTCTGGGGAAGTTGTTGTATAGGGATGGCCTCATGTAGCCATGTCTCTCCACTTCTTGCCCTTTGGACAAGCAGACCTGATGTCTAGAGCTAGAGGAGCCCTCCTGTGACCATAAAGGTAAAAGCCACAGGCTAAGAAGAGTGTGGCTGGAAGTGACAGCCATCTTGATTCCCCAATCTAAAAAATATTTAGAATATATTTAATGGAATTGACATATTCATGTGATTGCAGCACCTCTGGACTATTTATTTCTGGATCTCCCACATATGAAAAATACACACTTCTTACTGGTACAA